AAAAAAAAAAAAAAAAAAAAATGGTGGCATCTTTCTTCTTGAACCCAGACAGCCTCAAAGTCCTTTTCAGTCATGCTCAAGCTTCAAGGATTTAGCTCCTTTGAGAGGCCCATAAGGGAGGATCATTTGAGGCCAGGAGTTAATGAAATCCTACTCTGTACAAAAAAACTTTTTAAAAAACTTAACTAGGCATGGTAGCAAGTAACTGTAGTCCCACTATACTTGGAGGGTAGCTTAAGCTCAGGCTACAGAGATCTATGATTACACCACTTTACTCCAGCCTTAATGACAGAACAAGTCTCTTGTCTCTAAAACCAAAAAACCTCTGAGAAGGAGTGGGGGTAAGGTGTTCGGGGTATTTCCTAGGTAACTGGTTAGCTATTGTACAAGTGAACCGTAGCTAGGATGTGGAGAACAGTTAAAGACAGTTGATTCAAGTATATAGAAGAAGCTTAGACTAGGAATCAGGAAACTTGGGTGTGGTTTCAGCTCTGGGAAGTGGTTCTGAATAAAAGACCACATATTTGCAGTCAAATCATGTACTTAAGATTTAAAAATAGAGCTAAGGGAGGTGCCTGTGGTTCAGTGAGTAGGGCGCCAGCCCCATATACTGAGGGTGGCAGGTTCAAACCTGGCCCCAGCCAAACTGCAACACAAAATAGCTAGGCCTGTGGAAGGCACCTGTAGTCCCAGCTACTCCGGAGGCTGAAGCAAGAGAATCCCCTAAGGCCAAGAGCTGGAGGTTGCTGTGAGCTGTGACACCACGACCCTCTACCAAGGAAAATAAAGTGAGACACTTACCTCTAAAAAAAGAAAAAATAGAACTGAGGAAAATAGATTAAAATACTCTCATTATATGTCAAAATGGTATTAAGTGTTAGAAACTAAGTGTTGTATAAATTCACATCTGTAATAGGAGCAAAATGAAATTTGATTATAGGGGAATAGTGCCATTCAAATTTAACTTTGAAGCTCGGCACCTGTGGCTCAAGTGGCTAAGGCGCCAGCCACGTACACCCAAGGTGGCGGGTTCGAATCCAGCCCGGACCCGCCAAACAACAATGATGGCTGCAACCAAAAAAAATAGCCGGGCATTGTGGCGGGCGCCTGTGGTTCCAGCACTTGGGAGGCTGAGGCAGGAAACTCGCTTGAGCCCAGGAGTTGGAGGTTGCTGTGAGCTGAGATGCCACGGCACTCTACCCAGGGGGACAGCTTGAGGCTCCTGTCTCAAAAAAAAACAAATTTAACTTTGAGAGGAAAGACTTTTCCTCCCTGTTAATTTCCTACAGTTCAGGTTTTAGATTTGGGAGGAACTCAAGAAGTCAACAAATTTCAACCCTAATTGGCATGTAGAACATTTTTTGACTTCCATCTTTTTTTCCTCTATTAGCACCTTTTTGCTAACATGGCTACTTCATCTGAAGAAGTTTTACTGATTGTGAAGAAGGTTCGCCAAAAGAAGCAGGATGGAGCTCTATACCTAATGGCAGAAAGAATCGCTTGGGCACCCGAAGGCAAAGATAGATTTACAATCAGCCATATGTATGCAGACATTAAATGTAAGTCAGCTGTATATTAAATGTCAGTCAGCTGTCTGATGTATGTATATGCTCTATTTCTAGTAATTTTTTATAGAAAGATGTTTTATACAGTCTTTGTGGGTTTAATTTTGTATCCAAAAAACCAGCCACATATAAATAATTTCAAAATGGGATCACTGAATATACTATTCTATAACCTGACCTTTTCATTTATTAATAGAATGTGTAAAGGTTTACATATGTTGATCTACTTCATATAGATCTACGTAGGTGGTCTGACAATTAAGTTCACAAACTCTGAGAATTTAATTTGTCAGACCTTGTATATACTTTCTTTTAAGTATTGAATCATACTTTGCTAGATATGCAATCACATGTATTTAGTCATTCCTCTATTAAAGGACATTAGGGAAGTTTCCAGAATTTTATTTTTGCAAATAATACTGCAGTATAGATCTGTGCACTAATATTTGAAGGATGTTTGTGCATCATACTTCCCTAAAAAGGATTTTGGGTTCAAATGATTCATCTATTTAAAGTGTTGATAAGTGATGCCAGATTCTCTTATAGAACATATTTTTACATTATTTTTCTTTTTATAAACTTAAAGTATGAAGTTTGAAATAAAAACTCCTTCTCTTTCCAAATTTGCAAAATTACCTTTGAATTTATTACCTAGAGGGTATACTACTTTGTTGTTCGGTAGTAATTAGGTTGAAAAGCATTAGATGAACCCTGGAATTTAAAAACTTTGCTCTGTAAAGGAATATCTACAGTTTACCTAATTAAGTCTTGAATAGGAGAGACCCAGGACAACAAAGCCATTGATCAATTGTGGCATGCCAACTATGACCATTAGGATGGATTCATTTATATTCTTGGGCATAAGATTCTTTTCTTAGATAAAATACTGTGTAGATTATAAGCAAGATGACACCTCCAAAGTTCACTATTGCCTACACTATATGATCTTTTGTCCACTATCTTGGTATCTTGGTAATAGTCCCTTTTTTAAAAACTTGGTTTCTGTGGGAAATGTCTGGCAAGTTCTTTTAAGTTTGGGAAGTAGATACCTGAAGCTAGAGCTGCACATAACAATTTTCCTTTTAAGTTGAATGTTTGAGGCTCGGCGCCTGTGGCTCAATCGGCTAAGGCGCCAGCCACATACACCTAAGGTGGCGGGTTCGAATCCCCAGCCCGGGCCACCAAACAACAATGATGGCTGCAACCAAAAAATGGCCGGCGCTGTGGCGGGCGCCTATAGTCCCAGCTACTTGGGAGGCTGAGGCAGGAGACTCGCTTGAGCCCAGGAGTTGGAGGTTGCTGTGAGCTGTGATGCCATGGCACTCTACCCAGGGGGATAGCTTGAGGCTCCGTCTCAAAAAATAAAAATAAAAAAATAGAAAAAAAAAAAGTTGAATGTTTGAAAGAATGTCTATTTCTGAAATAAACCATCGAAAGTCATCAATAAATTATTAACGGTGAAAATCAGAGTAGTTTTTACCTTAACTGAAGTTAGTTAAAAAATGAGAACATCTGGCTTCTCGGAGGCAGGAATAAGATGGAACAAGGATGAAGCAGTAACTGAGAAAAGGTGTGATTTGAAAGGAGTGACTAGGGCAGGTGGATTGCTTGAGCAACAGTGAGACCTTGTCTCTAAAAAAAAATAGCAGGGCATTGTGCTCAATGCCTATAGTCCTACCTACTCAGGAGGCTGAGGCAAGAGGATCACTTGAGCCCAAGAGTTTCTGTAAAATGAGATTTCCGTAAAATACTGAGCTATAACTCCATGGCATTCTACTAAGGGCGACAAAGTGAAACTGTCTCAAAAAAAAAATAGAATGGAGTGACTGTTTTGGAGGAATGGGATAATGAAACATGCTAGCTGACTGTAAATTGCTTCATTATTGCTGCTTTTAGCAGTAAGGTACTTTATGTGTTCTAACTGTTAGAAGCATCATCTTCATTGTCAGAGTTTCTGTTTGTTTAAACTTTTAATAGATCAGTTCATGCTAACATGAAAGCTGTAGGCAGTGTGTCACGCTACCATGAATCACCCATTTTATGGGACAAAGCCCTCCATCTCTGCTTCCTTTACAAAGTAGAAAAGCACTACTATTGCCAAGAAGCCCGTTCTTAGAACACAAGTTCTGCATTATGTAGGCACATCTTGGTATTCCCAGCCCTGATATTTTATTATAAAAGTCTTCAAAGTTATAGATAAATTTAAATGATACAATGAAAACCTACATAATATATCCTACAGTTGTTACTCTGCCATATTTCCTTTGTGAGTATTTTGTAAAATTACCTTTGAATTTATTACCCAGAGGGTATGGTACTTTGTTGTTCAGTCATAATTAGGTTGAAAAGCATTAGATGAATCCTGGAATTTAAAAACTTTTCTCTGAAAAGTAAAGTATGAGTACTTTACTCATACCTTGTGAGTATGCTTTTATTTTATTTTTTTATTTTTGAGACAGAGCCTCCAGCTGACGCCCTGGATAAGAGTGCCATGGCATCACAGCTCACAGCAACCTCCAACTTCTGGGCTTAAGAGATTCTCTTGCCTCAGCCTCCCAAATAGCTGGGACTACAGGTGCCCACCACAACGCCCAGCTATTATTTGGTTGTAGTTGTCTTTGCTGTTTGGCAGGTTTGGGCTGGATTCCAACCCGCCAGGTCTGGTGTATGTGATTTGGCACCTTAGCTGCTTGAGCTACAGGTGCTGAACCAAGTATGCTTTTATTGCTTACGTTATCATACCAAGAACATTTTAATAAAATAGCCAGTCCATTACTGCATTTCTTTGGTTGAGCCAATAATGTCTTTTTTAACCATGATTTTTTTTTTTAAACCAGTATGCAGTCTAGGTTCATGTAGTTGTGGCCTCTTTAGTATCTTTCAGAGTATAACCATGTTGAATATTGTACATTCTGGACATCTGATTGCCTCCTTAAGGTCTTGTTTCATTTATTCTTGTATATCTGTATATTTTTATAAACCGAAAGAGCTAGAGGATTGATTATAATCAGGTTAAACGTTTTAGACAAAATAATACGTAGGTGGTGATGTTTATTTCCTGTTCCTTTACTTCAGAAAGCACATGGTGTCAGGTATTCTACTTTAATGAGGCTATGTTTGATCACTTGGTTAAAATACTGAAACCGCATCTCTCAAATGTATAATTATCTATTTTCTCTTGCAGTGTTAGTAAATATGCCTTGGGGATTATGAAAAATCATTTTTATTAATAATAATGTTGATTGGAGGCAGTTTCAAGTGGATTCAGTGCTCAGTCCTCATTGGCTGTTTGGAAAGTTTTAGGGAAATCAGCCCTAGTTGAATGCAAATAAAAGCCCACTAATATATGGCAGAGAAAGCAATGGTTGAGAAATACTGCACAAAAAGGGCACTGTAGTGGGAAGCAGAGTGAATGTTAATAGTGAATTTGTTAAACCCACTGTAGTTGTATGGGATTATTTAAAAAGTGCATTTCTGCAAAAGCATGTATATTAGAACAGGGTAACTAAAGCCCAGAGGAATGCCAAATCTTCCTAGGAGAAGTAACCTATTATATAGCCATTCCCATGGTGTGAATTTCCTTATCTAACTGGCCTCATGCTTCTTTTTAGGCCAGAAAATCAGTCCAGAAGGAAAAGCTAAAATTCAGCTTCAGCTGGTCCTACATGCAGGGGACACAACTAACTTCCATTTTTCCAATGAAAGCACAGCAGTGAAAGAGCGAGATGCAGTGAAGGACCTTCTTCAGCAGCTGCTGCCTAAATTCAAGAGGAAAGCAAATAAAGAACTGGAAGAAAAAAACAGGTGGGAGGGGGAAAAACAGTCCTTTGAAAACTAGATTGTTTCTAGCTTATTATCTCTCCCCTGCTTTTTATTGTGATATTGTAATATAGGAAAATAAGGGCTTTTTAGTATCTTTACCTCTGCATTTAGTTTTCAACTTTGGTATCTTACTAGCTGTGTGACTTTTAGGCAAATGAGAATTCACAAACTCATAAGTTAAAGCCTAGCATCTGCTTAGGAGCAGAAATGAGATTAGAAGGTGCTACGGTTCCTTAATTTTCTTTTCCCACTTTGTCACGGAGAAGATACTGAATAGTTAGATGTGTGCTTATGAAAAAGCAAGACAGTATATAAAATAATGAGAATGTCTTCTGAGATGAATTATTCCATCACTGACATCTTACAGGCCATAAGGGCTTTCAGCTCCAAATGCTTATCACATTGAAAAATTAGTTGCTGGAAAATCTCAAGCATATCTCCTCTCTTCCACATTTGCCTTTATGTGTGAAAGATACACACAGTTGGCCTTCTGTGAGTACACATCCACAGACTCAACTTCAGATTTAAAATATTTGGAATAAATAGCAATATAACAACCAAAAGCAATACAAATAACAAACAGTAGGATAGCAAACCATTTAACATTTTGTATTATGTTAGATATTAATAAGTAATCTAGAGATGATTTAAAGCATATGAGAGGATGTTTATAAGTTGTATGCAAATAGTACATCATTTTCCCTAAGAGACTTGAACATCTGCAGATACTGTGGTATTGTATGGTACAAATATAGACCCAGTGATCTGTGTCACTGGGATACAGAGATAAGTAAGACCAGATCCATGCCTTCAAAGAGTTTAATCTCTACTACTGCAGACTTATCTCCATTTATCTGTACTTCATTTCTTAATTACTGAAAAATGAAGTAAATGAACTCTCCTATTTGGTTATCACAAACTGAAAATTGTTCTAATGCTTTTATGTAACTAAGGTATTTTTTAAATGTTGTTTTATTCTAGAAGTTCAATTATATTTAATATATTCTGTCCCCAGAATGCTGCAAGAAGACCCTGTTTTGTTTCAGCTTTATAAAGACCTTGTTGTGAGCCAAGTGATCAGCGCTGAGGAATTCTGGGCTAATCGTTTAAATGTGAATGCAGCAGAGAGTTCTTCCACATCTAATCATAAGCAGGATGTTGGCATTTCTGCGGCATTTCTGGTATGTGACCCTTCTAGATTTCTAAAGAGAAGAAAAAAATGACAACTCCAATATTTGTGTTAACAATGCTGTTTTTTTGGCAAAATTTAGCATTTCCTTGAAGTGTAGAAATCGAGCATTTCCTTAAAGTATGAAAACTTAGTATCCATAGTATTCTTCAAAAATATTTTTAAAATATTGTAGTATTAAAATACTCTCAAAAATATTTTTAAAATATATACTTCCGCTCAAGAGGCTAAGGCAGGAGGATCCCTTGAGGTCAGGAGTTCATGATTATAATGAAGTATAATCATATCACCGCACTTAGCCTGGGCTGCAGAGTAGGACCTTGTCTCCAAAATATATATGTACACACATATATGTATATGTGTATACATATATATATTTCTTTATTTACATTTACCCGTTATAATTTCTTGGTTTTTGGACTTTACCTTAAATGACTTTGAAAATGATGTTTTTAGAAATTGGACTAATACTTAATTTTCCCAATGCTTTTAAATTTAGGGCTTTCTAATGATTGCTGTATTTTACTTATAAAGTTAAATATTTAATGACCATATTATAGGAAAAGTAGAACTTGTAAAATGTATCTAATACAGCCAGCAGCCAGGTATGATGGCTCTTGCCTATAACTCCTGCATTTTGGAAGATCAAGACAGGAGGATCACTTGAGCCCAGGAGTTTAAGGCCAACCTAAGCAACATAGCAAGACCTCTGTCTCTATAAAAAATTAAAAAATTAGCTGGACACAGTGGTTCATACCTATAGTCCTAGCTACTGGGGAGGCTAAGGTAGGAGGATCACTTGAGCCCAGGAGTTTGAGATTGCAGTGAGCTACATTAGCATCAGCGCCTTCCAGCTTGGGTGATAGAGCAAGATCTCATCTCAAAACAATATCTAATAGAAAAATTATGAATGCCACACTTGTGGACTTATAAAATCAAATTCAGTTAGTCTGTACTGCAATGGAAACAGAACAGTAACACATCCAACAAAAATTTGAATACCATTTGTATTTTTAGTATCTTTTTTGGTGCTTAGTAGTGAATTAAATTAATAAGGCCTTCCCCGGCTCGGCACCTATAGCTCAACCGGCTAAGGCGCCAGCCACATACACCTAAGGTGGCGGGTTCAAATCCCCAGCCCGGACCCGCCAAACAACAATGACGGCTGCAACCAAAAAAATAGCCGGGTGTTGTGGCGGGCACCTGTGGTCCCAGCTACTTGGGAGGCGGAGGCAGGTGACTCGCTTGAGCCCAGGAGTTGGAGGTTGCTGTGAGCTGTAATGCCACGGCACTCTACCCAGGGGGACAGCTTGAGGCTCTGTCTCAAAAAAAAAAAAAAAAAAATAAGGCCTTCCCCAAAGAAACCAGTCAATGTTAGTTTTAGTTTGATGACTAAAACTAAACCAGAGTTTGTGGTGGTTTTTTGCAGTTTGGCCAGGGTCAGGTTCGAACCTGCCACCCTATGGGTCAGTGCCCTACTCACTGAGCCACGGGCACCGCCCAGAGTTTCTGGTGGTTTTGGTAATTTTGCAAGTTTTATGTTAAAGCTCCACTAGCTCTCTGCCTCTCAAATTTAGACATGGCTATTTGACCATATTAGACTTCCAAGGAAACAGATTTTACAGGTCATTAAGACAATGAGAAGCCAGTGCAGGCCTGTTTGAGCCCTGTCTCTATGCCAGAAATGAAAATGAGGGACTTACCTGTCTGCAGTTCATTTAGAAACTTTTTTTCCCATCTTTATCCATTGTCAAGAGCTTAGACAACTACCATGGTGTTCTTAATTAATATATGTGTGTATGTGGTCTTTATTTTAGGCTGATGTCCGGCCCCAAACTGATGGCTGCAATGGTCTGAGATATAATTTAACCTCAGATATTATTGAGTCTATATTTAGGACCTATCCAGCAGGTAAGAAGAGTCAGTTCTTTTAGAACCATTCACATGGTTAAAATATTTGGATGAACTCTTTAATCTATCAGTGAAAAACTGGGGCAGTGCCTATGGCTCAGTGGATGGGGCACCAGCCCCATTTACTGAGGGTGGCAAGTTCAAACCCAGCCCCAGCCAAACTAGCCCCAGCCAAACTGCAACAAAAAAAAGTAGCCGGGCATTGTGGCAGCTGCCTGTAGTCCCAGCTACTCAGGAGGCTGAGGCAGGAGAATCACCTAAGCCCAAGAGTTGGAGGTTGCTATGAGCTGTGATGCCACTGCACTCTACCGAGTGCAATAGAATGAGACTCTTATCTCTACAAAAAAAAAAATAAAAATAAAAAACATTTATTCACATTATTCCTGATCAAAGTAATTTACCCAGTACCTGACATAGACATCATAGGTGCTAAGGGCTCAGTATTGCTATCATCAGTTAATTGTATGATGATTTTTTTATTATTTCCATCAGTGGTTCTTAAGCTTTTTTTAGCCCTTAACATACTTGAGCATGAAATGCTAAACATGACATGTTACAGAAGCATCATCAGTTAACTGAGACCATCCTTTATACTGCCCAGAGTGATCTTTTTAACCCATAAATCATTTCCCACATAGATGTTATCCTAAAAGTATAGGTGCCTTGACCCCCACCCCTAGTGATTTTGATGTATAGCCAAGCAGGAGGGCCACTGCTGTGGTCATTCTTTGGACTAAACAGTACTTTGTTAAGCTATATTCTAATTCTCTTCTCATTTCCTTGTTAGCCCTTTTAGTCCTTAGGAAACATTTCTCTCCCTCAGGTCTCAGGTCAATCATCACCTCATTGCCACTTTTATGAAATCCTAATTAGGCCAGGATTAGTGGCTCATACCTGTAATGCCAGCACTTTGGGAGGCCAAGATGAGAGGATTGCTTAAAACCAGGAGTTTGAGACCAGCCTGGGCAACATAGTGAGATTCCCCCATCTCTTTTTAAAAAAAAAAAAAAAACTTTTTTTTTTTTTTTTTTTTTTAAATTAAATGAGCATGGTAGCATATGCCTGTAAACCTAGCTACTTGGGAGTCTGAGGTGGAAGGATCACTTGAGCCCAGGAGTTTAAGGCTACAGTGAGCTATGATCAGACAATGGCACTCCAACCTGGGCAGCAGAATGAGACCCCGTCTCCAAAAAACATATCCTGTTAGGCAGATATCTTAAATTATGATCAAAACCTTTGTAGATGAGCATGGTGGCTTACACCTATAATCCTAGCAATTTGGGAGGCTGAGGCAGGAGGATTGCTAGAGGCCAGGAGTTTAAGACCAGCCTGAATAAGAGCCAGACCCTGTCTCTACAAAAAGCAGAAAAATTAAACAGGCAGGTGGGGCACACCTACAGTCCCAGCTCAGGAGGCTGAGGCATACAGATCACTTGAGCCCAAGATTTTGAGGCTGCAGTGAGTTCTGATGACACCATTGCACTCTAGCCAAGCAATAGAGCAAGACCCTATCTTTCCACCCTCACCCTAAAAAGAACACTTCTATACCAAGCGAATTAAATTTTGACATTTTACTGGAATCTTGACATTAGTCCTGAGTTTTGTTGTTTGTTTCCTCTACTTTTATAGTGTTTCATAGAATTATCTTAAAGAATTATCAGAATGTAATATTATTTTTGTATCTTTCTGCTAAATTAACATGATTGTATAGTGTTTACTATGTGCCAGACACTATTCTGAGGGCTTTTTCTGTATTCATTTAATCATTGCATGTACCTATGAAGTGGGGACTGTTACGACCCTCATTGTACAGATAAGGAAACAGACTCTCTGTAGAAAGATTAATTTGTCCAAGGTCATACAGATAGGAAGTGGCAGACCTAGAGTTCTAAACTGAACTCTGTGCTTGAACACTATAGTCACTTGAATGGTGAGCTGAGCTGAGCTGAAATCCAGTAGGCATTGAGATCTTTATTTCCCTACTGCCTAACAGTGCCTTGTACTGAGACTGTGTGTAACTGAATGAGCAAACAAGCAAACTCAGGTCTGAATCCAGGATTCTTAGTGTTTCTATTAAAACCTCAAAACTTAATCCTCTTGGTGCAAACTAAGGTTTTGTTCTCATTTGCTAAGATTCATAGCAATAATGCCTCACCTGATCTCTCAAGTTACAGTTTATATTTATAATTATAATATTCGCATATACTGTGTAAAGTTAAGAACTTTTTAATCTTCTTTTTGCTACTAGTCTATTTCAGATGTCTAATTTGAGAGGTTTTAAGAAATGAAAATTTAGTATGAAACTATTTTTTTTCCACAGTAAAAATGAAATATGCAGAAAATGTTCCCCACAACATGACAGAGAAGGAATTCTGGACACGTTTTTTCCAGTCCCATTATTTTCACAGGGACCGGCTGAATACAGGGTCAAAGGATCTCTTTGCAGAATGTGCCAAAATAGATGAAAAAGGTAACTATTTATCCCTGACACACTGTGTATTTAACTTGGCACTCTAGTCATTAGATCTGTTAGAGATTTTTTTTTTTTTAATTTCTCAGAAAGGTAAGACATGCTGAACTTTTTTATTGCGTTGTTTTTTTAGGGTTAAAAACAATGGTTTCATTAGGAGTGAAAAATCCACTACTAGATTTGACAGCTTTGGAAGATAAACCATTAGATGAGGTAAGAAGTAATCAAAGAAGTTAATTGTCTTAAAGGGGCGGTGCCTGTGGCTCAGTGGGTAGGGTGCCAGCCCCATATACCAAAGGTGGCGGGTTCAAACCCAGCCTGGCCAAACTGCAACAAAAAAATAGCCAGGTGGTGTTGTGGGCGCCTGTAGTCCCAACTTGAGACTGAGGCTGAGGGAGAGAATCGCCTAAGCCCAGGAGTTAGAGGTTGCTGTGAGCTGTGACGTCACAGCACTCTACCGAGGGCAACAAAGTGAGACTCTGTCCCTTAAAAAAAAAATCTTTGTCTTAAAGAAGATAAATTTCTAGCTTCCCCCATCAGTAGTTCTTCAGATAATAGAGGGCTTAACATGATATTGAGTCCAACTTTATGCTCTAGCTAACATTTAATCTTCAAAAAGTGAATAAATATTAACAAAGATGATACCGTAATAAACATCTATTGGTTTCCTACGGCCTACCAAATTTGGAGTACTTTTACCTTCCACCAGATCTGATAGGTTTCAGCAGCTAGACTAGTGTTTTTCATTTTTTAACCTTTTTTATCTCAGGGCACACTTGAACCTATAGTTAAGCTTTTGTGGCACACTTAAATTATGCTGATCAAAAAAAAGCCTAGGTGCAGTGGCTCACATCTGTAATCCTAGCACTCTGGAAGGCTCAGGCAGGTGCATTGCTTGAGCTCAGGAGTTCAAGACTAGCCTAAGAAAGTTAGCCTGGTGTGGTGGGGGGCACATATAGTCTCAACTACTTGGGAGGCTAAGGCAGGGGGACCACTTGAGCCGACGAGTTTAGGGTTGCTGTGAGCTGTGATGCCAGGGCACTCTTCTGAGGGCACCAGAATAAAACTCTGGTGCTCTGAACTTCCTTTAAAAATAATTAAATTCCATTAAGGATCTTTAAAAATTTTCGTGACAGGGTGGTGCTTATGGCTCAGTGAGTAGGGCACCAGTGCCATATACCAAGGGTGGCGGGTTCAAACCCGGCCCCGGCCAAACTGCAACAAAAAATAGCCAGTGTTGTGAAGGGTACCTGTAGTCCCAGCTATTTGGGAGGCTGAGACAAGAGAATCGCCTAAGCCCAAGAACTAATGGTTGCTGTGAGCTGTGACACCATGGCACTCTACCACGGGTAACAAAGTAAGACTCTGTCTCTTTAAAAAAAATTTTTTTTTTTTTTTCCGATGGCACACTGGTTGAAAGTTACTGAGCTAGACCATCAAGTATGAGTTACCTACCTCATCATCATGACTATAAACCTACAGATGAGTCCAGTCACAGAGAAAGAGATGGTTCTTTCTCTGTCAAGGATAATTTCATTTCTGCTTCTATCTTATAGGCCAGGAACCTGCCCTGCCCCCCTCAGCTATTCCCTTTCCTCTGATTTTTCATTTTCTTGCCCCTCTTTTGATTTCCTTTCTGCTGGCTATATAAACATGTTCACTCCTCTTTTTGCCCTTAACTTTCTCCTCACCAGGTGAGAAAAACTGGTATTAAAATAATTGTGCTGGCTCGGCGCCTATAGCTCAACCGGCTAAGGCGCCAGCCACATACACCTAAGGTGGCGGGTTCGAATCCCCAGCCCGGACCCGCCAAACAACAATAATGGCTGCAACCAAAAAATAGCCGGGCGTTGTGGCGGGCGCCTGTGGTCCCAGCCACTTGGGAGGCGGAGGCAGAAGACTCGCTTGAGCCCAGGAGTTGGAGGTTGCTGTGAGCTGTAATGCCACGGCACTCTACCCAGGGGGACAGCTTGAGGCTCTGTCTCAAAAAATAAATAAATAAATAATTGTGCTGTTACCTAATTATAAACTAACATAAAATGGTCCTTCATGCTCAACATTAGTCACTTTCTTAATAAAATGCAATTGTTCTCTTGGTAATTTTCAAAATTCATTTATTTCAGTAAATCTCAACACATTACAGTCCCTGGCTTATAATGCAAAAGGACCAGGCATGGTGGCTCATACTTATAATCCGAGCACTCTGGGAGGCCAGGGTGGGAGGATCACTTGAGCTCAGGAGTTTAAGACCAGCCTGAGGGATGGTGCCTGTAGCTCAAGTGGCTAAGGCGCTAGCTACATAAACACCAGAGCTGGGTTTAAACCTGCCAGCCTTGGTGTACGTAGCTAACGCCCTTACCCACTGAGCGATGGGCGCTGCCCCTGATCAACTTTTGTTACAAGTGTTTGTGTATCCAATGTGTAGCCCAAGACAACTTTTCTTGTAGTGTGCAACAGAAAATAAAAAAGGCTGAGACACCTCTATAGGATTGGTATAAAAGTAAAAAGATCATAGTATTCTCTTGTGTGGATATATCAACATTCACATAACCAGTCTTTTTACTAGAAATGGACTAATTAAATTTTTCATTTGGTGCCTCTTCCTTCATTGGCCTCTAATTGTTACAGCTGTCACAGGCTATGATCTTGGGCCTCCTGAATGCATTCATTCTATCCATTACCTTAATTATGTAATAATGAATCCCAAATATTCCTCCCATGTCTTTAATTCCAGAGCTCCAACTGCCCTTCTTGATAATCTGCTATTACATATTTCACAGACATCTTAGCCTAACATGTCCAAAATGGAACCTTTGATTCCCATCCTGATAAATGTACTTTCTCCTGAGTTTATCTCAGTAAACAGAATTACCATTTGCCAAACCAAAAATCTGGAAGTCTCCTTGATTAGTCCCCTATTTTATGTCTTAACATTCTGTGGACAAGTCCTCTATAATACATCTTCGATCTGTATGCATTTCTCTTTCTCCACAGGTACATAAACACTTTTAAGTTCCACCATCTTTGGTCTGATTGCTTGCTTTAGCCTCCTAATTGATCTGTCTTTGTACTCTCTTCCTAGTACATTTTATAGTTCATTCTCCCCTTGCAGTAAGAGATACAGTATAAATTAGATCTTAATACTCCTGTATGTGAAATTCTTCAATGTCTTCTAATTGAACATAGAATAAAACCATAACTCCTACAAGACTCTGCTTGATTTGGCCCCTACATCCTTCTGACTTGGGCCACTTCCACCCACTCATGCTCCAGACATGACAACCTTCCTTCAGCTCCATGCCAAGTGTTTTCTACTTCACAGCCTTTGTACTTGGCTATCTTTCTACCTGCTCTTCCCCTGTCTTCTACCCATCTTTAAACATTGGTTCTAATATCACTTTGTCAGGAAGACCTTTCCAGTCACGTCCCCAATTCAGTTCATCACGTTACCCTGCGTTTTCTTTATTTTCTGCTTCTAAAAAAGATGTTTTTACTTGTTTTACGAGATAATTGCTAGTCAGTCTCCTCTCTGAAAAGTGTAAGCCCCATGAAGCTGATTTTATTATTGATTATTGGCCTATCCCCAACACATGGCATGTATTAAGTACTTCATAATTATTTAATAAATGGATGAATGGGCTCGGCACCTATAGCTCAACCGGCTAAGGCGCCAGCCACATACACCTAAGGTGGCGGGTTCGAATCCC